CCTGGTAGTGAGCAGTTGCTAAAGACCTACTTAAAATTTTTTCTGTGGGTGTTATCGAAAGAGGCAGAGGATGTATGAGTCTCCCATGACAAGTATCGGTCACTTGGGCAGTGGGTGAGCTGGAGCTCATCTGTAAGGTCACTGAGATTTCTGCCATTTTTCACATCAATCAGTCGCTGTGAAATCTTTGCTTTGATGATGTTTGATGTTGCGGAGTCTGTGCGCTCATGTGACTGCTTGGGTCTATAAATTAAATAAAGGTGAAGAATGCCAAAATGGCCATTACGTCATTTGATTTTTCTGTATGGAAGAAAGGGTTTGGACAGCCCTGAGTCAAACAATGCTTTTGTAGTCACGTGGTTAGCATGTGCTAATTTTGGTGCTATCATCCTCCTTTCACTCCCAAATGGCAAATGACCGAGGCTGAGTTTTTCAAGATAAATCGCATAAACATAAGCTGGAGCCATACGGGCCGACAAAGAAAGAAACAAAGCCGACAAAGGCATTTGGCGTTCATCATGGATTGCCTTGTTGATGTGTTACCTGACAACCTCTGCCAAGAAAGGAACCGACCATCAATCACACACAGAGTCCAAAAGTTAAAACATTTGTCATTGTCTCTGGACCATCACATGTTAAACGACTGCAGCTGGACTTGGAGATGAGGGCTCCTATCTGAAGTAGGCACAGGCCCGGGAGGGTTTAATATGAAGCAGATAACAAGAAATTTTTTAAATTGAATTTTAATTGAATCATTATTCAACTACAGTTATTTCTTTTTGTTTTCCTATTTTGAAGCACAGTGTAAATATTCTGGCAGTGGATAATGTTACAGCAGCGCAGAATTAAACGATAATAAGGAATAAAACCTCTGTCTGTTTTTTTTTTTTCGTGCCCATGCGCGACTTGTATCCCTTTCATATATGGTCATAGATCGGATTCGTATATCCGATTTTTTTCAACGCAACCTCCGTCTGAACGCCATTCCAAAGCCTTAAATGAGTAACTGTCTTGACTTTCCATTTGACTCCAATTTAATCCCACTTGAACCATGAAGCATCAAATGGACATTTATGGTGATAGGAGTAATTCAGCCACACAGACGGTTCATTTATGATGGTGTGGCGTCATCTTTCGTAGATGTATCTGGATATCGAAAGACTTGTCACTATTTCTCCAAAATATTTCTACCTCCTCCCTCATCGCTCCTCTGTCGCAGCTCTTAGAACTCCATCCTCATATTGCGGGAGGCTAATTTAAGTTGGAACCCCCTTGCCGTGTTTTGCTGCATATTCTCGGCCAGGAACAGCATTCAACCACAAAATGTTCCTCATCTGACTGTGGCAACTCCGTGACCTAGTTTTCACCCGGGGCGTCAGCCCGCTCCTGTAGCGGGTTGGTGTGAGTCTTTACATCGCTATCTCTTACATTAATGTGACAGAGGCGGCATGAGGAGAGGAATGCAGGTCAAAGGGGGGAATTTAGCAGTTGTAAAGAGAACACCAAATGTGATCGACATGAACTCTGGCTCAGATGTGAAAGGAATGCTTTGCTTTAAGAAAAAGTTGGGTTAAAAAGCAACCCATCTCACATTTTGGGTTATTCATTTAACCCTAAAAAGGTGGTTAAAATGAATAACCCAATTGGGTCGCTTCTGTGAATAACAGTCCATAAGATTGGGCTGTTTTTTGTTGTTATTCATTTGACACAACTCTAAAAGTTAAATGAATAACCCCAAAAGTTGCCGCACCCTTTTTAATGTTGGTTTACTTTTTTTGTTTACTGTAATTTGTGTTTCAACCAAAGTGATGCTTCTTGATACTTGTGCATTCACGGGAAAAAATATAGGTCAGTCAATGATGCATGGGAGATATTTTTTTTTCCACAATATTTTCAGACTTGGTGAGCGGCTTTTTTTCTTTTTCTTTTTTCTTTTTTAATTCCCCAAGTCAACAATGCGTGAGCCAAGAAAACTTTTCCCTCCCCCCAAAACATGAGTGTCTGTTCCTAGTAGTGCACAGTGGGGAGTCCCTTTACAAATGAATCAAAGAAATTGAAACCTCACTAAGAAGCAAATGTCAAATCTTTTCTCTCTGTGGTGATTTATTTCTCCGTCAATGCGCGACCGGCCTCGTCCTGTTGCCTAGGCTTCAGTCAAAACAAAAAACAGAAGTATGCAGAGAAAGGGTTTAAATGCCCTAAATGTTTCTATCTAACGAACACTTTAAGCAAAAAGAAAACATTCATGGCATTTCTGCAATCATATTAAGTCATCCCGAACTTGCCTTTTTTTGCGCATTTGAACGCCAGTAAAAACCAGCCTATTAATGACATTTTAAAAAGTAGCCAGTCATTTACAAAAGCGTGAAGTGAACTTTCGGCTCGGGATCGTTTCTGGCATTTAACTCTCCAAACAAGGGAAAATAGCTGTTCTTACTCAAAATGTCAACAAAGTAGTTTAAAAAAAACAGGATACAGCCACAATTACCGCTTTTAGCTTGTTCTCAACAAAATTTAACAGGAAAAAAAGTGAGTGGGTATTACTCCCCCCCAATGGCTTCTGGGCTTCCCTCCTTGCAACAGGTATTCTGCCCCCAGCGATTGCATGTCAGTCCAGTGCAGTGCCCCTAGTGGTGAAAGTAGTTAAAACCACACAAAACCGCAGACAGTGCAGTGCAGTGCCCCTAGTGGTGGAAGTAGTTAAAACCTTACAAAACCGCATGACAGTGCAGTGCAGTGCCCCTAGTGGCGGAAGTCGTTAAAACCACCCAAAAAGTCAGTGGGGTAGCCATTTTGATTCCTAACAGTGGAGAGCGTATGATCACATCCACTTCCATCCTCTTTCTTTTGACAAGTTCAGGCACAATCTGTAAGTACGTTTACACAGTTATCCATGTTACTGTTTGTTTGCAAGTTATTTAAAGGCACATATCAATATTTCACCAGTTAATCTCCTCAAATACTTACTATGGAATTGTTGAATGAGCTAAGAGAATAGGGCTCTTACATGAGTGTCATTTCATATGTATAATTGGATGCTGTACAAACATTCGTGTTGTGTTTCTGTTTGTATGCGGTTTTACAAGAAAGACTTTCATAAAAATACCAAACGGTGGATTCTCATCTTTGTGTTTTGATTGGATTATTGTTTAGCTCACTGTCTACACCATGCTCTCATATCAAACACATGGTTACGGCAGAGGAACCGGAAACCTCTCGTGTCAGCGCCTGCTCGGAATGTCAGCTTTCTACGAACTGCAATGAATCACTTTTATAATCGTACAAAACTCTCGGGCGAAAAGTCTCACACCGCAACGCAAACGACGGCGGACGTCCCGAGCCAAAAGCCAAGCTCCATTAAGAAAATATTTGCTCTATTTCACATGGAAGGAGAACGCGTCGTGCCCGCTGCACAGCCATTTTCTCCGGGCCATCCAAACACATTTTGGATGAACTGCGAAGCTGAGAGTGGGCCAAGAACTTTCACTCTGCGGTCGGACTGACTTTTGCTCTGCTCAGCTACCCGGTTGCAGAATATAATAATACGCAGACACATGCTCGTTCGCACGGAGCAGGCAGGTTTCTGAATATTTCCAGCCCATTTGGATATTTAACATTACGGTGAGCGACTGGAACATTCGAACAGTTTGAATATTTGCTCGTTGCTTCAATATGAGAACCAAAAACTACTTGTACTTTATTGATTTCAGTGAAATGCCTTGCGCATGAAAGTTTAAAAATAAATAAATAAATACCTGGAGGCCGGCCCGGTGGTCGACTGGTTAGCACGTCGGGCCTCACTGCGCAGAGGTGCAGGGTTCGATTCCGGCTACGGCCTTCCTCTGTGGAGTTTGCATGTTCTACCCATGCCTGTGTGGGTTTTCTTCGGGTACTCTGGTTTGCTCCCACATTCCAAAAACATGCATGGTAGTTTAACGGAACACTCTAAATTATCTCTAGGTGTGAGTGTGTGCGCGGATGATTGTTTGTCTATGTGTGCTCTCGATTGGCTGGCAACCAGTTCAGGGTGTCCCCCGCCTACTGCCCGAAGACGGCTGGGATAGGCTCCAGCAACCCCCGTGACCCCTGTGAGGATAAGCGGATCAAAACATGGATGGATGGATGGATAAATACTTGTACCTAAATAAAACTTTAACAGTTTTTAAAGATTAAATGCAAATGCACAGCGTTGGCTTGCTATCCAAGTTTCATTTGTTCCACATTCCTATCACAAAAAACTCAATCTTTTTCCGCCCTATTCGTTGTGGCTTTTCCCCTTATGTTTGAACATTAAGCTAGCAGACTGTTGTTGTTTTATGTTTAGTTTGACAGTAACACCTCAACTTGGGGTTGCAATAAACATATATATATATGTATATTGGGCAGCTATAAATTGCAGGTATTAAGTGTGTACACCTCTCCAGTAAAAGACGGTTTCAATAGACACACACACACACACACACACACAGTCAAAGTGGCCTCAGTTCGAATTGTGAACATCGCGGCTCGCCTGTTATTTGGGTTTGGTCATGTGACTTGACGTGCACGTTCACGGCTTGTAAGCAACACACACAACTGACACACTTGTGCCTCTGGTGCGCCTAACCACCCATACCAGTAGAAAATGAAAAGCAACCAAATAAATCTTTGTTAAATCTGCCCAGATCTGAAAATGTGTCTGCGAGCGTGCCGTTCTGCACTTGTTACGTAACAGCAGGGCTGGTCGACGTCATACTTGGCAGCCGGATTGGGCCGAGAGCCAGAGCCACTTTCAAGCGACAGTCAGAGTCCATCCACTGAAAAACATTTTTCCCAAATCCAAAGTGACCTTTTGTTGGATGCGCAGAATAGATGAGAAATCCAGCACATACAGTCGTTGATTGCTCAGTCTTTGGTCGTCACGGTAACGAAGACTGGACTCTTAACAAGATCTTCAGAAAAAGATCAAAGTTCAACCGTCGGAGGACGTTTTATAATGCGAGGTTGGTCTGATGACTTTTCCACTGGGCTCTGACATACGCTTCACATGATTGACGTGGAAACACGAACCTGAGTGAGACTGCAGCGCGTTAATCTAATTGTGGTTGCACAGCTGATGACTGAACGGAAAAGCGGCCATCAATTAGGAGGCCGTCTTCCAAAGCACGACAGCGATTGGCTTCCTGCACTCGTTTATCAGTGCTCTCAAGTACTCATAATGATGACTTATTTCGATCTTTTTTTTTGACATATCGGGAACATTGTGTGAGCAATGAACATTCGTCAGAATATGTTTTTATAAATGCTCAAGATCAAGAAAAAAAGTCTACCCACCCTTTTCAAATGTCAAATTCTGCGATCCTAAAAATGAGCTCAAGAGAAATCATTTGAAAAAGTTTTGATACTATTTGTGTGACCTGGACCTTCCACCACTCCCCTGAAAAGAGGAAGTCAAACTAACAGCAACCGTGGCTGCATAAGTGTGCACACCCTCTGCTTTCTGGGGATGTGGCTGTGTTCACAATCAACCCAATGCATTCAAACTCACGTTTGAGAGGAGTCGGCCCACATTAGCCGCCATTTGACGTGTCGCCCGACTAACCCCAAACGAAGTTTAGCTGTTCTCGTAGGCTTTTCCCGATGTTTTTGCTGTCACATATTTACCCCACAAGCTTTGGTCTGTAGAGATGGAATGTTGTTTTGAATGCCTTAAGAACGGGGTTCACCAAGGCGATGCAGTCTTTTCCATAACGTTCACGGAATACCTCTACTGCATGTGTTTATCATGAAGTCTAAATTCCAAAACTTCCAAAATCGTACTGATTCATGGTATCACAAAAAAAAAAAAAAAAGGCAACGATCCCCTCCTGTCTCATAAGCCACATCTGTCGAAGGCACGTTGCGTAATATCACCACCGTGCCAGGAGACGCTGCAGTTTCGCCAACTGGTCTGCGTTATGAACCGGCAGCAGTGATTTACACGTCTTTTTTTTTTTTTTTATGAGTATTATTATTTTCGAGCGATTGCGTGAGAAAGTCGAAATATTCCACATTCCTGGAGATGATGTGCGTGATGGTGAAAAGAAAAGACCCGACATTCGCCTTGGGCACAGTGTGTTGTGGGCTCAACCAAGTGAATTAAACACACTGTTTTCCACCAGGGCTGACGCGTTCTACAGTGGCACCGCTACTTACGAACGTTCATACGAAATGTTCATGTTCCGAAACGCCTCAACAGGAAAATATTGCCTCTTGTTATGGAAAAAATTTCAAGATACGGAAGGTAAAAACTTAGTATGGGCTGCGCAGCTGCGAGTTTTCTGAACGCAACATACTTATAGCTGCTCTGCCATTGGCTATTACCGAGCATCATCCTGGCATCCCATTGGCTCAGAGGGACCTCTCCCATATGAGTCTTTGTGTCGATGCAGCGTCCTCGTCATTCGCACCCTCGGGCCATGAGGCATTCCCATAGTTTTACGTCAATGTGAATCACCCAGAAAAAGTGTTCACCAGTCCGGCGATCGCTCACTATGCTGATGTTTGCCTTGGACGTTTTCGAAGGATTGTTAAAAGCCGACAAAAGCAAACGTCCTTGGATCGGGTCTTTACAAAACGCCAGGCAAAAACCACTTCTGAGAGAGAACATGAATTAAAGAGGGCAAAAAACGAGGAGGACGCAGTTAAAAGTTAGGACCATCATTTTTATTCTTTATTCTTTGTTTTTTACATGATGCACAACTCTCATTTCTTGTTCACTAATCTAATTGTAACATGTATTTGTTACATATTCTTGTTCAAATCATATTTTGAGGCTTTTATATGCTTCACAAAACATTGATGTCTGAATTTTGGAGGGGGCTTGGAACGGATTAAGGCATTTACATGAAAAACGCGTCTCTACTTACAACATTTTCTAGTTTAGAAATGTCTTCCAGAACCAATTAATTTCGTAAGTAGAGGTACCACTGTACGTCCAAAATTTATCATTCGGAGATACGAGCTTTTCATAGGACGGCAAAGAATTTCAGAACAGACGAAACACATGCTGGGTCAAGATCGTAAAATGTAATGCATGTTTTTCTCGTGGTTGGCGATCCCATGAACCTTTCCATTGCGTAACCATGCGTGGATGTCCTCACATTGCCTCGCAACCTCTTTTGGGGGGGTGATGTTACCGTTGATGTGTCTTCCACAGGCAAGAGGAGTGGATCCTCTCAAGTCTCGCTTGGCGAAAATAGATCGGCCATGTTTTGTGACCTCACTCGTCGACCCCATGGAGGCCTCATATCCACTTTTGGAATTCATGCCCGCAGCAGACAGACGTTGTTTTACATTTGAAGAGAGGAAATAAAAGATCATCACATTGAAATGACTTTTCCTGCTTAAAATAAAATAAATACATGTCACCGTTGTTTTCTCAGACTTCAACCTTCACTCACATTTGAATTTCCTGCCATGGCCGACCGACCTCGCGTGCGCAGGCTGTCACACGAGGCGACCTCATGTTTTCTTATTGCTGCTTTCGTCGCCAAGTCACAACGGGGCACTCTATTTGACATCAATAGGACCTTGTGATCGTAGAGATAGCAGAGTGGTGGTTCGCACGGCTGCCTCACACTGATGCGGTTTGGAATCGTGGTGTCCTTTCCTGCGTAGTGTTTGCACGCTCACCCCCCCCCCCCCCCCCGGGTTTTTGTGGGGTTTTTACTGTCCCGCGTCCTCACACATTCCACAACAGGCCTGACTTTGCTTTCTGCAGTCATACAATTTGGCCAAAAATCAGAAAATACGGCTGACCTTTTTTTCTTGTTTGGGTTTTATGAGAACGAAGACATTTTTTTTAGACAATTATTCTTTCTTCAATGGATGCTTTTATTTTCATGCAGTCTCATCATTGATGTTATTATTTTATTTTTTTGTAATTTTTGCTTCAATTCAGTGTTAATTGCCAGCATCAATTTTTAACAGACCAACTCGCATTGTCCATTGGTTTGAATGTGAGTGTGAAATTTACGCGCAGCGACGGAGGTACCATGAGGCAAACGCCGGCAATCGTCTGTCTCGTGAGGGCCCACCTGTGCTCGTTTCTCGCAATTCCTTCCCCAGCGACTTGTGTCTTGTCCACGTTGGATTCTATTTAAGTTTCCTGCTTTCTTTCCGCCGTCGTCAGTCCAGTTGTTTGTGTTTGCTGAGGTGTCGAATCTTCATCCGGTGTGTGGTTGTCACTTTGAATCTTGCCTTTGGGTTTTGTTGTTTTCATATTTTGGGGATTCCATGTGGCTAGTTGACTTTCCTTTTTGTTCTGTTAGGATTAAATTCCCATTTTTTTGTGCATTTTGTCTTGCCCTCCCTGCTTTTGGGTCACCAGAAAAGCATAAAAACTGTGACAGGGTGCTTCGAAGTCACTTCAAAATGCGTCATCTATCATTATCATGCGCCACCTTCCCTTCTCATCTTCTTACTGAACTTGTGCAAACCTGATTCAGGAAGATGCTAGCATAACAAACTTGTTGACATATAGAGGGCTTTTAGCCATACACGAAGTCTATTCGTGTATGGCTTGTTTATAACAGCCCTCCAATATGGCCACCGGTAGTGCATTGTGGGTAATTGCTAAAAGGACGGAGCCAAGAGGATCACTTTTTTTTTTTTTTAACTAAAAAAGATTTACCGATAATCCATTTTTTTTTTTGTACGGTGACACTGAATGTGCGCTAAAGAGCTAAATGCTCTTGCGTCAGTTGAAGAGGATGCAATAGAGATGAAGTGGAAATTGACACAAGTCCCATCTTTCATCATGAGCATCGAAGTACGAAAGTGGTCAAAATGGTCAACTATAATAAATGTTGATTATTGTTATTCTCAGCAGCACAGCATACTAGTGGTTAGCGCGCTCGCCACACATTTTTGAGGTTAGCGATGAGAATCTCAGCTCTGGCCTCCCCTCGATGCCGTCCGCATTCTCTCTCTCTCTCTCTGGCTTCCACTCGCATTCCCAAAACATGAATGTGATGCTAATCGAAGAATTATGCATTGGTGGAGTCCAGCGTCAGTAAAAGTACGATACAAAATGAGTGAAGCGAGGCCATCAATTGCTGCTATGCATAGAAGTCCAGCTCAAAGTCACAGCTTAAGAATTAAATCGAGTTTTGCTTTTTATTCCGTTTTTGCGCCGACAACACAAAGAGTTTTTAATGGGTCATCGTTTTATTGGAATCATTTTTTTTTTTGTTTTTTTTGTCATTCATATTGGGAGTGCAGTGTTCATGTTCAAACGGCATAATGTTACAATGGCTTCCAACAGATCTTGTGTGTGTGTGTGTGTGTGTGTGTGTGTGTGTGTGTGTGTGTGTCTAACACCAGTCCAAAGAAGACACGTTAAACTGTAGGATGGGAAGTAAATGGGGGCACAGCATTCCCACGGAAGGTCCTCTGGTTTGACGAAAAGGGGTTGTACGCAGGAAGTCGCCAATGTCCCTTATCTTGATCATCTGGTGCTACTCTTGCAGCGGCTGAGGGCATTCGGGTTTGTGGCAGCTTTAATTGCAAGAACTGGATTGGTCCTCGAGTTCATTTTTAGCTCAGGATGAAGTGCTTGCAGAAATAACCCCTTCCTCAAATTGTCTCTGCTTTCCCTCTCCCTGACCTAGAAAAAAAAAAAGGATATGCCATGAATGCTTGTGTATACAAGGCATGCTGAAAATCCGGGTAAACTGGCTGAATGATTGTCATAGTGGCAAGCGACTTTGTGGTTCGCGGAGGATGCTGCGACGTAAAACAAGAGGAACGCAACATTTTATTATTCCAGGATGGGAGGGGGCGTGGACGGGAGTTACATTGTGGATAAACAAACAAAATGACATGTCGTCCCAATTTCGGATTGGAAGCGACAGAACATGTTCGGGGAAAAAAAGCAGACCAATGCTTTAAAGTGGAATTAACCCCAACATGTCAAAACTATCGGTGACACGGCGGTCGACTGGTTAGCACATCCGCCTCATTGCGCAGAGTTCGTTGGGTTCGATTCCAGGCTCCGGTCTTCCTGTGTGGAGTTTGCATGTTCTCCCCCTGCCTTTGTGGGTTTTCTCCGGGTACTTTAGTTTCCTCTCACATTCCAAAATCATGCATGGCAGGCCCATTGAAAACTCTAAATTGTCCCTTGGTGTGAGTGTGAGCGCGAATGGTTGTTCCTCTCTGTGTGCCCTGCGATTGGCCGGCAACCGGTTCAGGGTGTCCACCCCCCTACTGCCCGAAGTGGGCTGGGATAGGCCCCGTGACCCTTGTGAGCATAAAGCGGATCACAAAATGGATAGATGGATGTCAAAACTATTAGCGACACGGCGATCGACTGGTGAGCATGTCCGCCTCATAGCGCAGTTCGTTGGGTTCGATTCCAGGCTCCGGTCTTCCTGTGTGGAGTTTGCATGTCCTCCCCGTGCCTGCGTGGGTTTTCTCCGGGTACTCCAACTTCCACCCATATCCCAAAAACATCCACTGTAGGTTGATTGACCACTCTAAATTGTCCCTAGTTGTGATTGTATCCTTGTTCAAAAGGAGCTGTGTGACAATCGTAAACTTGTCAGTGACAAAGGTGTACTGAAAAAAAAAACCCGACAAAGCCCACGCTGGATGCCGATGGCCTCATGCTTGTTCCAATGATGAAACGAAAAAATATATATATGTTGAGTGACATTTGGCAAACCTGTATCATTGTTGTGTATCAAATGCTTGTCTTCGTTGGGTGAAAGGACTTTAATTAACTTCAAAATTTGTCGAAACACCGTTGCACTTAAAGAAATGGCAACATTTCAGTGGTTAGGAAAATAATAAATAAAACATTTCCAGATGGCTAGAAACATCATCTGACCAAATGAATCCAACCTAAAAAAAATAGTTTAATTACAAATTCTTCAGTGTGGACGCCACACGGTGAACATGGTAGTGCCAACTGACAGGGGATTCAGATCGAACAAAACAACGCTGATTGACTGCAGACGCCGAGTGTTTGCTCGGAAACTGGCTCTCCCGTTGATTTAGTGCGCTTACAACCTCGAATGCCGCAATCGCGTGCTCAGAGTTTTCCTGTCAACACAGAAGGCGCACTTGCGAGCCTGAGAGCTGCCCGGCGTGTCTCGGCGCGCTCTCTCTTAAGAAGCCAATTGGCACGTCATTAAAAATGATTGACAGCAAACAGAATGGCCCCTTGATGGGAAGCGTGAAAGATGGCGGCGTTAAGAAAATCGCATGTACGTATGAAGTCAACACATCTGTTCCGCAGAGGACGACATACAAGAGGTGCAGGCATGTTGCTTGTTGAACCTGTGCAGTCTTTGCGATGAAAAACAAAGATCATTTACACGTTAAAGTTTTCTTCGAATCGTCTAACTTACGACTGGACACTGGTGACGACCAATTTAAAAAAACAAACAAAACAACAGCAAAACTGTGTTGGTCTGTGTTGTTGTTTTTTTTTTTTTAAGTGGGGGGGGGGGGGGGGGGGG